TATTTCCGCAAGAAGCACTGATTTCAGACAGTAGGAAGTCAGTGTTCTTGCAGAAATTCAAGCAGCCAGTGTAGACAGCTGGCCAGTTTTTCCACAAAAGCACCTGCTTTTGCAGAAAAACTTGCCAGTCTAGACTCAGCCCCCATGATTAGCTTCTTACACAAGAAGCTATTCCACATCCTTCAGTATGCCCCCCCCACACACTTCTCTTCACTTGTTTTCCAATAGTGATACATCTTTTCTGATACAAAAAGATTAGACCTGCATGCAGTATTCAAGGTATGGGCATGTATTCAAGGTACGGGCATATTATAGTTGACAAAAAGATTAGAACCGCATGCAGTATTTCAAGGTACGGGCATATTATAGTTTTAATATGTATTCAAGGTACGGGCATATTATAGTTTTAATATTGTGGCACTGCAAGACCTATCCTTTACTAAATGATTTGTAAACATACTAGCTTTTTCATTGCCACTGCACTTTGAATGGATGTTTTCAAAGATCTCAAGTAATAACAGCTAATTTAGCCCTCATAATTTTTTGTGTTTAGTTTGGTTTACGTTTATGTCATTATTTTGCACTTATCAACATTGAATTTCAGCTGATTTTATTGCCCAGTCACCCAGTTTTGTCAGATTACTTTTTAACTCCTGGCAGTCAGCGTTGGACTTAACTATCATAACTAATTTTGTATTGTCTGCAAACTGTCACCCCACTGATTATTCCGCTTTTCTAGATCATTTATGAGTATATTGAACGGTCTTGGTTCAGTATAGATCCTTGCGGGGGGATCCACTATCACTCCCCATTATGGAAACCCACTATTCTTAGTTGCATGTCTTTTAACAAGTTATTTGTCCCATATTTACTTACTTTGCACAAGCAAGCACAGGGATTGGTGAAGCATTGCTTTCCCTTACAACAACTATGTTATCTCTTCCCCAACATATTGATTGTGTTCATCTATGTGTCTGATAACTCTGTCCTTCACTATAGTCAGCCAGTTTGACAGTACTAAAGATAGCCTTGTGGCTTAAAATTGCTAGTAAAACCATAATAAAAATGGTGTCACATTACTTATCCTCTAGTCACCTGATATAGAGGGTGTTTACATAAAACAATAATTCTGCAATTTCATATTTGAGTGCCTTCAGAACTCTAGGGCGAATACCATCTGGTCCTAATAACTTATTGCTGTGAAATTTATCAATTACACAACAGACTTCTACAATGTGATCCTGACCATTTATTTTGAACCACAGATGAGCAACCTAAAGAGACTACCATTCCAGCATGCAGTTCTCCATGTTTTTTAATTTCAAAGGTACATCACATGCTGGGAACATGTAGTCTCCATAGAAAACAAAATCATAGTGGCTGTTGTTTGCTCAGTGCAAAGTGA